CTCGTTGGAATAAAGTAAATGAAGTGAAGCTTGCCTCGATTTATGTAACGCTATTCCTTTACGAGAACAAAGACCGAGTTATTAGCCTTTATTATCATACACATACTTGCCATGCTCCTCTTCTTTCCCTCGGTCTTTTGCTGCTAATGATAACTAGAAAGATAAAGGAAGAGTTGTCGTCTAAAGCTGTATCTAGGCCTTTTTAGACGAACATTGAATTTCCCATGAGCTTCATGTCGGAAACTCCCTGCATTATAGCAGTATGATGCTTTCCATGTGTACAGCCTATTTCCCATTTTGCTCTGTACTAGTTATGAATATATATCCTGTGCAAATGTTGTGAATTGTCTGAAATATCCTTCATTTTGAGACAGTATTTTAATATTCATGAAAAAGCTAAACCATGAATAGAGCTGCACTGATTCTGGTGCACTAAGTCTATTCAGTAATTAATTTTCGCACCGGTGTTGATTTTGCAGCGAAAGTGGAGCAGCGAGTGCGGCGGCGACGGCAGCAGCGTGGGCGAGGAGTTCGTGGAGGGCGACGCAGGCGCCGTGCCCGTCACTCTCTGCCTCGTGCTCATGATCAGCTACATCTGCGGAGGAGCCGCTGCATTCGCCTACGCCCACCAGTGGTCCTTCCTGCATGCCATCTACTTCTGCTTCTCGTCCCTCACCACGATCGGCTTCGGTGATCTTGCTCCTGAAACCACGCCCAATGTCGATACGGGTGTCCAGATGGCGCTCCTGGGCGCGGCACTCTACCTACTGGTTGGCATGGCACTCATTGCCACCTGCTTCAATCTCATGCAGGAGCACATGACCAACCGTGGCTATGGTCTTGGGCGACGCCTCGGCAGCCTCATGGCTACAAGCAGCAGTGGCAGCAATCACCGTTTTCACCTGGATGATACCTGACATATGGAGACGGTGGCACTCTTCACCTATGGTTCGGGCTGCACCCCCAAGCACTCAAGCAGCAAGCCCTCCACGCTGTCGCAGCCCTGCTTGGTCAACACCAGCTGCAGCCTCGCCAACAGCACCAACGCTCGGCCTCTTAACTCCAGCCTGACTAATACCATATACAAGGTCACACCTGATGAAGACAAGCTTGTGACCCCCAACAACACCCTGGGCAGCATCCCCCGGACCGGCAGCCCCCTACAGTCCCCTGCCGACCTGGCCACCAGCCCAGCCAAGGCCAACAACGGCAGAGATAAGTGTGACACGCTGTACGGCACACTCCGAAAGGAGCTGCCGCCCACCCTAAAGGCCGTGCCTCCGCCCACCATCCCTCCCTCATCCATTACGCCCTCACAGACGCCCATGTTATCTACGCGTACCAAAAAGACGGTAACAATCTGCGACTCGGCCGACATCGGGAGGGCAGTCAGTCCCCTTTCCCCGGAGAGGATATGACACGGCCAATGATCGGTTGCCTCGTACCTGTATTAGGGGCCGTGAGGCTTGGGAACGCCTCCACGACTGTGACAAAGTCGTAGGAAACCAGACACTCTTCATATAAAGTCTGCTCCACGTTGTATTCAGACAGGGATTCTGATCTTCACGTGAAGTGACAAAACAAAGTTTGATGTGTGATTCGTTTAGTTCTATACTGATGGCACAGACGGCCGAGGTTCCGCTTGTCAGCAAGCGGAATGTAATCGTATATCTGAAAATAAGTTATTAATACATATAACGTGAAACTGTGGCTCACTATTGACCTGTACTGGCACTGCCCGGCAAGGGATGCCAGGAAGATTCCCCCAGCTATGGCGGACGTGAGTCAAAAGACGTGTGTGTGTTTGTGTGTGTGAATAATAAAAGCTGTCCCTTTGTATTGTTCATGTCTCCTCTATGTTCCAAGGCTGTATATCTTGTATTTTTACATCTGTGTAAGAGGTCCAAAAGAAAAATAAAGATTTAAACAAAAGAAATATATATATATATACATATGTATAGAGGCATCAGTGTGACTACATTTACTGTAGGTGCCGGACTGTTGATAATGCTGTGCGGTTCTTGCTTGCATTACGAGGGAAAGTTTTTTAGCTTGTTAGAGACGGGTTTGAGATACATTGTAAAATTGTAATATCTATTTCGCAATATCATATTGTGATTTTATAAGAGGATTACTGTTTCAGCGTTCTTTTTTGTATATTACTCAGAGGTATAAAGAATTTTAAATCTTATTTCCTCTAAATTATTAATGACACAGAAAGTTATTTACCAAAGTTCTGACTGATGGTGACATTCTGGAGAAATGTCCACAGTTGTTGAAGAGAGATTCGAATGTCACCGTGGTGATGTTTCGGAATTCCTAGGTGTTTCAGCTTCAATCTGATGATTATAGCAGAAGTTTATTTTACATATAGAGGCCATATCCCAATATCCGAATGATGCCGCGAAAAAACGACAAATCAGATGACAAACTTCTTACAAGAAAAACTTTAGTCTGCAGCTTGAAAAATGTTTCTGCCTTTCTCTCTCTTTTTTTCTTT